GAGACGGAGTGAAGGTCCGTATTTCTAAGCCTGGTGGGTTCTCCTCACCTCTCTGAGCAGTGCAGTTTAGGCCTCGTGTTGAGCTGTGACCAGGTGGAGAATAATATTAAGGGCTGAAAATGAGATGTTTTAGTTATAAAGAAACGTGGAGCACCGTTTCCCCAGAATATACACACTCTGCCTGTTTCTAGCTGAGTATTTGCTGTGTGAAAGATTAAGCCCAGTTTCCAGTTTCCACAAACATCTCACTCTTGATTTGCTGTCCTGTCCACTGAGGGAGCTTGAAGGAATTCAGTGTTTGGCTGTGAATAGGAACAGCCGGAGTGAAGGGGCCTCCTCTGTTAGAACAGTGGATTTGGTTCATTCTGAATTCCTGCCGCACCTCCCCTCTTTCTTGAAAAAGTCCTCTGAACATCTTCAGGGAGGACTTTTTAAGTTTAGAGGTGGAGAGTCCAGAAGATTTGGAGCATGGGCTCTGGGATAAGTGACTTATCTTTGCTCCTGGGTCCTTCTCATGTGAACTTGCTTCAGTTACCTCATTCACCAAATGAAGATAAAATACTTTGTTTCACAAGGCTGCCCTAAGAGGTCAATGACATATTGCTAACTTAATTCTTATCCTTAGAAAGCCACCCGGAGAGCCTCTGTTGCTGCTCTCAGTTGTGATAACGTGGGTAGTTTTCGCTGCATCCCTGCTTCGAGCCTTCTCTTGGTGAATTGTGTATGTGCCCCCACAGCTCTATCTTGGACACCTTCGGGATTCATTCAGATCATTTTTGCTTAAACACACGTGAAGACATGTACCCCTTATGATGACGCAGGAGCAGAAAATTAAAACATTAAACAGAACGCAAGTAGTCACTGTCTGTCTCTTAGTTTCCGAGCACTTGGCCTGGATACTGCCATGTCTTTCTTTTTGCTCAGGGCCCGAGCCTGAATTCTCTGCTCATTTCTTCCTCTCTTGTTTATGCGAAGGCTGTTTCTCTGCTTCTTTTTACCCTTTCTTCTAAGCAGGGTTACATTCCTGGGATGCCTTCTCCCTTCTCCCCAAACTTTGAACATTTAAAGAGCTCTTGTAGCCAAGCATGGCAGTACAGGCGTGTCATCCTAGCACTCTAGAAGGCTGAGGCAGGAGGATCCCAAGCTGAAGCCCATTCTGGCCAACTTAGAATTTATCTCAAACTAAAAATAAAACTGGGACTGAGAATTGTAGCTCAAGGAAAGGGTTTGCAAAAACTAGTTCAACCCCAGTACTGCAAGGTAAATAAGGAAATACATAAATAAAAAACATTTCCTGAATATATAATGGAAGCTTTCTTTGACTAATAAGAAAAATCAACAAAACTTTCTCAGTCCCTATATTCTCTACACAAAGGAAAAAGAAAACTTAGGAAGACAATGGCAACAGAAAATAGAAACTGCAACACGAGAGATGACGGGGAATCCCCAGGATATAGGGAAAGGCAATTATCAGATGGTGGCTGAGGATGGGAGAAAAGTCTACCCCACGGCTGCTTTAAAAGGAGTGGAGAGGATACCTGACCATTTGGAAAGGAGATTTTTTTTTTAAATATTCTATTATCTTTAATTAAACGGAGACCTCTGTAACATGCCAATAGAGACCATTTCACCCCCTGCTCTGTTTGGCTGCCAGCCTCTCATCTCTTCAGCAATGGTGAGGCGGATTCCTTTTCCTCGTGGAAGAGAAATCCATGGCTTGCTGCCTTTGCCAATGACAAAGATGTTGGCGAGCCGGGAGGCAAAGCTGTTGCCGCTGGCATCCTTCACATGAACCACATCATAAGAGTCAGACTGCTTGTCTCTGCTGGTGATCACTCCAATTCTTCCCAAGTTAGCACCTCTGGTCACTGTACACAGGTTACCAGCATCGAACTTGAAATTGGTGACCTTGCCAGACACCAAATCAATCTGGATGGTGTCACTGACCTTGATGAGGGGGTCCGGGTAGCGACTGGTGCGAGCATCGTGGGTCACCAGGTGAGGGATCCCTTTTGTGCCCACAAGGGTCTTCCTCACTTTGCACAACTTGTGCTTGGCTTCCTCAGGTGTAATCTGGTGAACAGCAAAGTGACTCTTGGTGTCGCAGATCAGATGAAATGCTGTCCCATCTTGTTGATGCTGATGACCATAAAGGCAGCAAGATAGGTTGTATCAGTTCGGACTTTGCTGTTGATCTTAATGAAGCACTGTATGCAAATCTTCTTTACTTCATCTCCTGTCAGAGCATACTTGAGCCTGTTCCTTAGGAAGATGATGAGAGGCAGGCATTCTCTCAGCTGATGGGGGCTGGTGGATGGATGGGGAACAAACACACTGGTCAGTTTATCCAGCATCCAATGCTTTGGAACTGCTACTCGCTTCAGATGCTTCTTGGGACCACGAGCCACGGCTGAGCTCTGGCCAACTTCACCATCCTCACTCCCAGCTGTGTGGCTGTTAGTGTGGCACCCCAGCTCCTCCACTTCATGTGTGGCACTGGAAAGGAGATTTAGACCATTGATGGCATTGGCGGTTGTATCAATGAGAAAGACATTAAAGACTCAGAAAAGGGAGGAAAAAAATCCGTTAACTCTAACTCTAGAAAAAAAAAAGCCTTACAGGAAAGGAAACTTTAATTTTATTTATGAATGTGTAAGGACATTTACTTCACATTGATGCAAGATCAGAAAATTAGAAAGTCAAATTTAACTAAAGTACTCACTGTGTGCTTCGGGGGTTTTATCCTATGGAACATAGTTTGCTGCACTGTGTGCTTAGCTTTGTGTAGTGTTTGTGTATTCATGGTCATGTAAGATTTGATACTGAGCTAACTAAAATTAGGATTTTTTTTTTAATTTAATCTTTTTGAGACAGAGTCTCACTATGTAGCTCAGGCTGGCCCTGAGCTCACTATGGCTCAGGCTGGCCCAGAGTCTCACTATGTAGCCCAGGCTGGTCTCGAACTCACAGCAGTCCTCCTGACTCAGCCTCCCAAGTGCTGGGATTGCAGGTGTGTGCCACTACACCCAGGTCCTGTTGACTTTTTAAACTTTAAACAACTGTAACTTCGATTAAACAAAAACAGAGAACACACAAAAGCATAGCTCCACAGGCTGCCAAAGGAGATGAATGAGCAGTAGCCACAGTGGAGAAAAATAGGTTACAAATTTTATTTGATTTTAATTATGGTCGCCTGAACAAAAGAAAGGTTTGGAAGTCTATATCAAAATATTTATTATCTCTAGATTCTAAGGTACTTTTCCCTTTTCTATTTTTCTGAATTTTTTGCAGTTATTATGATGTTTTTGAAGGTTTCAATTGTACTTTATTTCTTCAATAGGCCATATTTTAATGGACACATGGCACTTTTACTTGGCATCAATTATGATTTCATTTAGAAATAATTTAGCTGTATCATATCAGCTGGCGTGATTCCTGATCCCTCCATCCCTTGGGGGTGACTCTGCCCACAGGGGAAAGGATCTGTTGTATTCCAATTTCTGTTGCTGCATAGGTCCATGCGGCAACACAGAATATGGCTCCCCCAGCTACTATAGCACTACCATACGTGTCATGGAAATCAGCTGTCCGTTTCCGGTGGCTCTGCCTTGCTACCATTGGTTGAATGCTTCGCACTGGAAAACGACCTAATGCCTTTTTGGCCAAGGGAAATATCATGGAGTTGAAGTTGAAACTGTAGTTACTGCAGCTGCCGGCTTGGTGCAAATTACTTCCAGATACGCTTGCAAAGAGCCGCAGTTATTATTTTAAATTAGATGGAAACACTATTTCCTACACAGGAAAGAGAAGCAGAAATGTCAGGGGGAGAGTATGTACAACTAAGAAGCCAGACACAGTGTAGCTACTGACCGGGAAATTGCTAATAAATAAAGGCTTATAAAGCCAGTGAAGGGCCGGGAGGGAGAGAGAGAGAGAGAGAGAGGTTTCTGGTTTCTTCCCAAATGTGTGTGTTTAAATAAGGTGCGCTTTGACTCTAGCCACTTTTCTCTAAAATCAGTAAAATAGGGCCAGCCAAATAGCTTAGCGGACTAAAGCACCTGCAAGCAGGCGCAGGGGCTGGGGGTTCAATCTCCGGGCCTGCTGTGCTGGCCCTGTCCCCAGGGCGCACCAAGATGCAGTTGAGACTGGGTATAGTGGTGCACACCTGTAATCCCAGCTCTTGGGAGGCTGTAAACAAGAGGATCACTATGAGTCCGATCTAGTAGTGAGACCCTGAACTTCCTGTAGACCCTTCCCTAAAATACAAAAAATCATAAATAAAGAAATAAATAAAATAAAATCAGTGAAATATTTTGCAGGTGTAATTGTAGAAAGAGGTTCTAAATATGCAGATCATATCATTTTTACCTTGAATCACACTGTGCCTTCAGCTAAAATGCCTCTGGCCTCCCCTTCCTTTTCACTGGTATTTTCCTTGATGTTACATCTTTCAAGAAGAGCTTGGACAACGACTCTCCCCGCTCCCCACCCCTCCCCACGGCCATTTCCATCCATGTTCTGCACAGATGTTCTGTAGCCATCCTTGGCACCCAGGGTTGCATTATGACTATGAGTTTGTTGCTTCTCCCACACTGAACATTAGCTTCTTTGGAAGCTGGCGTTGGGTTCCATCTGTTACCACTGCAAGGCACCGTACAGGGCGAGAGCAATGAAAAGTGTTCAGTAAATGCTCCCTGAGGAAAGTAACAAGTAATACGGGCAGTACTTGTGCTAATTAGACCTAAGACGAGGGCCAGGGAGATGGCTCAGTGGAATAAGCGCCTCCCTGGCAAGCGCAAGGGCCTGAGTTCAATCCCCAGTTCCGCAAAAAAAAAAAAAGATATAGACCTAAGGCGAGTAGTGGCTGCATGTCAGGGCTGGATGGGGACTGGGTGGGAGTCGGCATAACACCATGCACACACGTGTGCGGCAAATAGCGGGAATGAAGGTGGGGGAGCATGCTAACAACATGCTGAGTGTCTGGATTTTGTTTTCTGCAGATAGCCCCCGTACGGGCCTTGGCGTCTGCGGATGGATTTTGGTGGTCACCTCGTTCCTGTTCACACTTATAACTTTCCCAATATCAATATGGATGTGCATAAAGGTAAAGAGCATTTCACTCTCATCTAGAAAGGGCTCAGCCCCTGCCCTACATCAACCCCCTGGGTGTGTGCAGGAGACATGGAGAGACCGTATGTGGCCTGTAATTCTTTTTCCTTCAACTTCTCTTTTTGGGAATTTCATGCTACTTCCCAGTTGGAATGAAATCTTAAAGCTTCTTTTTATCCATTATCCAATCAATCCTTTTTTTTTTTTTTTCCAATCAATCCTTTTTAAAGTAAGATCACCGTTAAAATTTTTCTGTGAATTGGGCATGGTGGTTGCATGCCTCTAATACCAGCACTTAAGAGGCTGAGGCAGGAGGATTGCCTTGAGTTCAAGACCAGCCAGGGCTGCATAGTGAGTCCAGGCCAGCCTGAACTGTATAGGGAGACCCTGTCTCAAAAAGACAACAAAACAAAACAAACAAACAAAAAATCCTAGTAAATAAATATTATGCATGGAGAGGTTAAACATTGGACATACATAAAGATAATATCTGGATATAGAAGAAAAATGTGGAAAGATATTAGAATTTGAGGCATCTAACCAATTCAGAAGAAAAGCTCTGCGTGTAAATGTTTGTGCTCTTCCTGCTAACCTGTCATTCATGTCTTTCTTGCAGATTATAAAGGAGTATGAAAGAGCCATCATCTTTAGGCTGGGTCGCATCTTACAAGGAGGAGCCAAAGGGCCTGGTGAGTGCGAGGGCTGGGGGCTGCCCGTCTGGACACCAAGGGCTTCTGCTCTGTCGGCTTGGAAAGAGTTCGTGGAGCGGAAGCTGTGGCGTAACAACAGCCCAGTCCCAGCTAATCTCACTACTGACCCCCTTCCCTTCGCTTCCTGCCCTGCCCCTTTCCTTCCCTTGCCAGCCAATAATATTATCTCCAGCCAAGAATAAATAGCTGCAGCTATGCAAATCAGAGTGTGAGAACCCCTGTCAAGGAAAGGCCTTTAATTATTCACTTGGCAAACTCCAATTGATCTGCTAGTGCGGTCCAGGCCCTGGGAATTTGAGAGAGGCCAGAATAGCCCCTTCCCTTGGGAATCTTCCTGTGTAAGGGTGGGACAGCAGCAAGGTGTCTCTGCCAGCACATGGCCTCCCTCTGTTCTTGCCCTTGCTGAAGTAGCCGCAGGAGTCCTCTTCGGTGAGTGTCCTTAGTTGCGCTGTTGTGGCTGCTTCAGTATCCTGAATCAAACCAAAATATTTACCTTCCAAGGTCATTTCAACTTTGCGGGAGACCCAGGAGTAAGGTGGGTGAGGCCACAGCCTCATGTGTTTTACTCCCAGTCTGCTTTACCATTCCGTGGCACTCACCATATTTTTGATCATGCCTCATGAAGAAACACAGGATTCTAGAACAGCCTCTGAAAATGTCAAGAATGAGGGGAAAATATGTTCAAGGAAAGGGGGAAGTAGTTGAAGGAGATTAATGGCAATATGTCTTCTATTGTAAGACTTTTTAAAAATGTAAACATTCACTATGTATCTGCATCATTGTGTGGGGCGAGTATCATGACTGAGTAACCACAGAGAGCCAGAGAAGTGAGAAACCCAGAGACGAGTGACTGGCCCAGACTTGTGGTGGGTGAGCCATGTTCCCTGGGAATGACTTTCCAGCAGAGTCGTGAGGCGAGCACAGGGATAGCCACTGTGCTAGCTGGCGGGCTTAGCAGAAACAACAACATTATGTACAAAGCACTGTAGGGAGAGCCTTGCAGATTTGTGGGCTGGCCAGCAGCTCAGGCCAGTGCAAGCAAGGGTCTGAGGCCAGAGGCTATGGCTGAAGAGGCGGGCGAGGCAGGTCCTTCAGGATCATGGCGGGCAGGGTTCCGGTCACTAGGGAAGACAGCTGGGCTTGCAGCAGGGGAAGTGGGGCATAGGAGAGAAGCTGAGAGAACAGCTTGGAAGCCGTTGCGTTGGTCCAGGGGAAGGCGGAAGGTGACAGCAACAGCAGCGTAAAGAAGTGAACTCCCCGGGCCTTCATGGGAGCCTTCATGGTGGGAAGCAGCAAGCGTGAAGAGCGAGGATAATTCTCCAGGCTTCTGGCTCCTGCAGGTGGTGACTGTAGTCGACTGGGTGGATGCCATCAGAATTGCTGGAGAAGTGAGCCACGGTGCCGGTGTCTCTCTGACCCTGTGTGTATCTCTGTTGCAGGCTTGTTTTTTATTCTGCCTTGCACTGACAGCTTCATCAAAGTGGACATGAGGACCATTTCTTTTGACATTCCTCCTCAGGAGGTGAGCTTTTCTTCTGCGGTGGCTGAGGGGTCATGTGTGAACATGATTTACACTGAATAGGAAGACATTTTTGCCCTCCCCTCCCCTCCTCTCTCCTCCTCTTCCCTCCTTCTTCTTCTCTTCTCAAGGCAGGGTCCCACTATGTAGTCCAGGCTGGCTTCAGACTCACAGTTACCCTCTGCCTCAGTCTCCTGAGTGCTGGAATTACAGGTGTGCAAAGAAGGATTTGAAAAGGAGGACACTTCTGTTTGTCTCTTTTGTTTTGTCGAGACAGGGTCTCCATATGCAGTTCAGGCTGGCCTTGAGCTCACTTTGTAGCCCAGGCTGGTCTGGAACTCACAACAATTCTCCAGCCTCAGCCTCTTGAGTGCTGGGATTACAATTGTGCACCACCACGCCCTGCTAAGGAGGGAGGACACTTTTGGGCCTGGATTCTTTCTCCTTTCCCCGTTCCATGACCTTCCTGAGGGGGAGTTTGGCCTCCTCTGTACCTCAGTTACCTTCTCACTATAAAACAGAGGTTGTGCTAGCAAGACCTGCCACATAGGACTGTTAGGAAGAATGAATGAGACATGACATGTGCAGTGAGCGTTTAGGACAGCACCTGATGAACAGCCAGCACTGTGTGAATGCTCGTTGCTGTTACGACACAGTAGATCGTGAAGCTGATGAGAGCGGAACCGTAGCATCTTCACGGGAGTCACTGGCACTGTTTTTACCACAGTTCTCCTCGATGGGTTTTGCACAGATGATGTGTTTAAATCAACAGTCACGATTTTGTTGTAGGTAAATTGGTAGAAGCCAAAGAATTTGAAGCCACTCATTTGGCATTTTAGATATATTTATCAATATGTTGTGCCTTCTTTTTTGGCAACATCACAGATACTGTCACAGTTGCAAACCACAGCAGAATCTCTAGGAAGTAGAGCTGCAGTAAGAGGAGGGAATTTCCTCAGCTGACAATAGCAGAGCCAGGACTGAAACGCAGCTCTTGCGAATTGCTGCCTAGTGCCTTCCCCAGGCTCCCTGCTAAGTGCGCCCTGTGTTTGCTCCACTGTGGTCCTTGAGAGATGATACCCACGTCACAGCTGTGTCTTCGGAGACGAAATAGCCGTTGGAGACCAACCTGCAAGCGCAGTGAAGGAGGGACGGCAGAACACTGCTTCCTGGCTGTCCCCCAGGTCCTCAGCACGATGGTGGAACATGGCCAGCTTGCTTTCTCTTGCCACAAAATCCAGAAACCAGCTCAGGAACTCCCTTGCTGGTACCTATCCAAGAAGTTACTGAGGTCAGACTTCTAAATCCTCACAACCCGAGAGCCGCCAGCAATCCCTGTTACCCACATCCGACAAGCGCAAGTCTGAGAGCATCCCTGTGTTCTCTGCAAGTTTTCCCACCCTTCAAGGAAGGCTGACCCTCTGGAGGCGCCCCTCTCTCGGGGTTGCTTTGAGCTCTGGCAGTTGCCCCTGTAAACATTCCAGGCATCTGGCAGGGCTGCTGTGAGCGTCTCCCACCCAGCCGCACCCTCCTCCCCGGCAAGCTGCCGAATGCAGAGCAGATTGGAACTTGGCAAGCGATCTTTTTTCCGATCCCCTGTGAACTCACTGTGAAGGGAGATAAACACTCTGCCTCCAAAACAGTCAGCGAGGAGCCACAGCTTTGAGGGCGGCTGTGGTGGAGTCACAGTGGCAGAATCCGGCCCCGGAGTGACGCTCATGTTCCCATCACAGCCTGGGAAATAATTTTCACACAAAATGGTAATAGACTGTGCATTTTTTTACAAGTCCTCTGCTTCTCTCTCTTATTAAAGATATTTTTAGATTACTGAAGAAAGGGGGAAAAGGAGGATGATTGCTTTGACGCCTGGCGGAGCTAAATAACTGCTTGGCAACAGTATCATTACCGCTTTCCATTTACATTAGCGCAGTATGCTTTCTGTAAGGCTTTCTTTATGCATTTCACAGATGTCTTTTCAACTGATCGATCTTCACAGAAACTTGGGGGAGAATTGGACAGTATTATTAGTCCCACGTCGGAAATGAAGGACCAACAATCAGGTCACATGGTTTAAAGCCCTGCTCAGGGTCATCCAGAGGGAGCAAGCAGAGCTGGGAATACAGCTGGAAATACTCCGACTGCCCCAGAAGGGCATAGTCTGAAAGAGAAGCAGACCTGTCAGGAGAAGATGTCAGGACACTGAGGCGCGGCGTGTGTCAGGGAAGACCACCGGCCTCTGTTGAGTGAGGCAGGGGAGTTTCACAGAGGAAAGCTGCGTGAAGGATGCATAGGAAGGCGCTCATCTCCTGTTGAGAAAGAGAAAGGAGACTTTGGGGCAGAGTTGGGGCTGGTAGAAGGGCCCCGGGGTGTGACCACGGAGCATGAGGGACCTGCATGTGGCCTGGCGCAGGATGTGTGCAGGAGTTGGAGAGGGAGGCCTGATATGGAAGGACTTTGCCTTGAAAGTGGCAGGAAGTCACTGGAGCGTGTTAGGCAAAGGTTACTAACTTAGGACTGAAGGTCACCGCTGCGTAGGCCCAGGAGCGTCATGACTCATGGGGGAGTTAAGTCCTGACAAACCCAGAGTGAGCTGGAAATAATGTTAAATAAAAAATTCATTGATACATCTATTCCACCAAACACCAGTGATGTATAGACGCATACACTGCAGAGTGGTGTTAGTTTCTCCTTGTGATCTTGGGGCTGATTAGGAGCTGAAGCTCGCTGCTGCCGCCCAGATCCTAAGAGAGAAAGCACTGCACGTTGCTGGCTGGGAAAGAGGCCACAACTTAGAAACTGGAGTTGAGTGTCTACTGAAGGTGAATTGATGTCACATCATTGTGAAGCCAGGTCATCCTAAAGAGAACTATCTTAAGTCAGGGGCCATCTCTTTGTATAGGAGATGAGCTAGAAACAAAGTGAGGTAGCTTCTTCTCAAAAAAAAAAGTCTAAATTAACTCATTCCAGTTAACAGGATCAGTGCTTTACTTGACAAAGTCAATGCCAGTATCTGGAATAAAAATTAATAAAGATAGCTGTTTGGGCATGGGTGGGCGGGACAGGGATTCAACCTGGGGCCTTCGCACTGAGGTATAGCCCTAGCTCTTCTTTATTTTTTATTTTGAGACAGAGTCTTGCTATTGCCTCACCTGGGCTTGGTCTTGCCACCCTCTTGCCTCAGCCTCCCGGAGTGCTGGGATTACAGGGAAGCGCTACCAGGTACAGGTTAAAGATGGCTTCTATCGTGTGTCAGGCATTCCTCTTAGCACTTAAATGTATCAACTCATGACTTCTAACAAAAGTCTTGTAATACTATTATTAGTCTCTATGAATGAAGACAGTGCGTCCTGGATAGGTTTAGTAATTTGTATTTCTACAGTTCTGTCATGTTAAGCATTGTGATGGAGCACACCATGCATATATTTATGCATATATTTTTCCCTGGTCTTGTCTTATAAAACCATTCCCATGCATTTGGTCCCTGTACTGAGCTATTTGTGGTTTGTCAGCTTCAGCTCTCCCCTGCCTCTGCTCCTTTATGCACGCAATTCTTTCTGCCTCGAAGGCTGTCCACTCCCTCCTCAGAGTATTTTGACTCTGTTGTTCAAGATTCAGTAGGTCTCTCCCCTGCCACCCTTAGCTACCCACCCCTTGTCTCTTTTTATTTTATTTTATTTTATTTATTTAATATTTAGTACAGGGTCTACAGGATCTCACTACAGGGTCGGACTCAGTGATCCTCCTGTTTTCAGCCTCCCAAGGGCTGGGATTACGCCCATGTGGGCACACCACCACACCCAGTCTCAGTCACCGGCTCAGTGCATCCCAGGGCGAGGCTGGCACGGCACGCGGGGGATCGAACCCCTTGTTTCTTGACTTCCTCATCTCCTTAGACAGAGAGCCCAAAGTTTTCCCTGCCTTTTTCCCAATCCAATGTCTGCTAGTGAGTGGTAGCAAAAAATGTGTGGCACAATTGAATCAGTCAGTGGATTTCAAGAATACACAAATGTGTTTTATTAAATTCCTAAAGATATAATTAAATTTCTGACACCTTATCCAAGAAAAGCTGCTAAAATAACAATCCTTGCAGCTGTGTGAAAGAAATCTTGGTCAGCAGATAGAGTTGTTGCCTTCCTCCTTCAGGTCCTCACGAAGGATTCAGTGACCATCAGTGTGGATGGTGTGGTCTATTACCGCGTTCAGAATGCGACCCTGGCTGTGGCAAACATCACCAACGCCGACTCAGCGACCCGCCTTCTGGCACAAACTACTCTCAGGAATGTTCTGGGCACCAAGAACCTTTCCCAGATCCTTTCTGACAGGGAAGAAATTGCTCACAACATGCAGGTAAGGGGTTCTCAAAAACCAACAGAAACTTAAACAACCAGTGTGGTGGTTTGAGAACCTTTTGACCTCTCAAGTTGGAAGTAGTTTCTGGCTTGTTTTTCTCCTTTGGTTTTATGGTCTCTATGGAAGCAGCCACCCCTTGTCACCCTGACTGTTTGTGGGTTCCCAACACTAGATGCCTGTTTAGTTTCCTCAGCATTTATTTTTCTATTTGTTTAACACGATGGTTCAGAGGCCGTGCGCGAATCCCACGATTCCCCTCCTACCTGTTGTGCACTCCAGCCTTGCTCCAGGAGTAGCTGTTAAGCCTGGCTAGTTCACAAAGATAAAGGGAATTCTTCAGTCTGAATTCTTACTCTCAGTAAAACTTCATTAGTGCAGGATCCACGATCTCACTGGACATGCACAACGAGTTCCTGAGATAGTACAATTTCCTTCCTGCCCTTGTACAAAAGCGAAGCACAAAGAAGTAACACGCCTTCCACAACGTCGCGCACGCCCCGGGGTCAGGGCCCTGTAGCCCTCAGGCTGGCCATCGCTTTTGTAGTAAAGTTGCCCTGGAAGCTGCACCCATCATCCGGATGGGGCTGCTTTGGACCTGAAGGTAGCTGCGGCGGAGACTGCACAGATCCCGCGCACGCGCAGATCCCGTGCAGCCCTTTGAGAAGAAATCTTTGCCGGTAGCTCTAGGAGCGGGCTCAGGATCGGCTCCCTGGTAGCTGGCTCTGCCTCAGCCTACTTCTCCCCTCCGGCAGCACTTTCTCCGCTCCCCATCCCAGCGGCTGTGGCCACTGTAGGCATCTGGGTGGGAACTGACTGTCCCCTGCTGTCTCCTAACAGAACACGCTGGATGATGCCACCGACGACTGGGGAATAAAGGTGGAACGTGTGGAAATTAAGGACGTGAAGCTGCCCACACAGCTCCAGAGAGCGATGGCTGCAGAGGCGGAAGCTTCCCGGGAGGCCCGAGCCAAGGTAATATTTTCTTTGTTGGTTTTTTTAGTTGTTCTTCTCATTGAACCTTTAAAAAAAAAAAAAAAAAAAATTCTACAAAGCTCACTTAAAAAAAAAAAATTGAAAAAATCCTAAAGTGCTTAGTAAAGATGGGATTCCTTCCTATCACTCTGAATCTATTTCCTCAGAAGCCATACTCTTACAGGTTTGGTTGTTTTGTTTTGTTTTTTGAGACAAAAAAACATTGTGTAGCTCGGGCTGGCCTTGAACTCACTGTATAACCCAGGCTGATCTCAAACTCATGGACTCATGTTGATCCTCCTACCTCAGCCCCCAGAGTGCTGGGAAAACAGGTGTGTGCCATGATGTCTGGCAGTCTCAAAACTCAATGTTGTTTGGTTAGGTTGTTAGCTGATTGGCTTATTTTATGAAACTAGACTCACACCAACACATTGCTGTGCACCTTGCCCTTTTTGTTTAATAGTTTGTGCGCATGGCACTGAGGACAGACTTGTTAAACTAATTTCAAAAAGAAGCTGGAATGTAGGGTGTGCATCTATAATCCCAGCACTTGGGAGGCTGAGATAGGAGGATCACTGTGAGTTCCAGGCCAACCTGGGCAATATGGTGAGCTCAAAGGCAGTCTGAACTATATAGCAAGTCTATTTCTAAAAAGAAGAAAAAGAAAAAAGAAAAGAAAGAAAGAGTACCTTTTAAAATGATAATGCACAGAAATACAGGGGTATCTCACCAAACCCAAGAATAGGCAGTAGGGTCCAGCCAGACCAGTGTTCAATCCCTGGTGTGCTGTGCCAGGCACTGAGATAGCAATTGAGACTGGGCGTGGTGACGCCTGCCTGCAATCGCAGTGCTTGGGAGGCTGAAAACAGGAGAGTCACTACGAGTCCAATCTGTGTAGTGAGACCCTGTATACCCTACCATAAATACGAGAGAGAGAGAGAGACAGAGAGACAGAGAGACAGAGAGAGAGACAGAGAGAGACAGAGACAGAGACAGAGAATAGGCAGTAGACTCAAGCCTCATCAGGATTGGCCATTGGCCATTGGGACCTGAAAGTAGGGCTCACAGGAGCCTTTTCTGGGCCAGGGCCAGGACCAGGTCTAGTTGCAGATAGTTTGTGATGGATGACACTTGACTCCCAGGTTCACACACTGCCAGGTGAATACCAAAGACAGGGGCCAGTCCTGATTCCACATCACAGAAAAGAGGTTTTCTTTGATCTGATTTTCATTCAAGGGGCAAGGGCAAAGTTCGGTACTAACACAGTCTGGCTTCCCTCCCCAGCTCCGTGTGTGTGTGTGTGTGTGTGTGTGTGTGCGCGCGCGCGCACACATGTGTGTTACTATAGATTGAACACAGGGTCTTTTCACTGAGCTATATCCCCAGTGCTTTTATTTTATTTTTTTTTTAATTTTGAGATGTGGTCTCACTCAGTTGTCCAGGCTGGGCTCTAACTTGTTGTCCTCTTGCCTCAGACTCCCAGAGTTCTGGGCTTATGGACATGCACCACCACACACAGCAGAAGAGTTTTCATAGGAGGAGTTGCTACAGCCTTGACAGATCTCCCAAACATATGGAACAAACCAATTTATCACCACTAGAAAAGAGTAGCAGCTGGTGATCATTGGCTGACCACAAAATCCTGTCCTTCCCTCAGGGTGCTCTTTAAGCCCCTGATTTGTTAGTATAATTTCTTAACACCCAGTAGAAGCGTAGCCCATCTGACATGCCCCCTCTAGAATCTTACATCACCCTGAATTCTAAATTTTCTTAATATACTTACTGTTGCTTGTGATAACCACCTTATGATGCTATGGAATCCTTAAGTACCTTCCTTAAAAATCATCATTTTAGAAAACTAAGTTGTATTTATGATAATGCCAGTAAATAGTCCCTACTATTATCAGCAATTTAAGAAAATTAGAAATTGATTTTACCTGGAATCTGTCATCAACCAAAAGCCCCATTTCTAAAACAGATCAATAGAAGTTGCTGTGCAGAGACTAGCAGAGTGTGAAGGATCCTCAAAGATTATCTTCCCAAGGTGTCAGATCCCGCACTTAGACACACTGCACCACACACACACACACACACACACACACACACACAGAGCACTGTGTACCCCTGAACTTAGATTGGCCTCAGAATCAGTCCTTAGTGCTCCAAGGAACAGCCCTCAACTGCTTGGACATGGCCCTAGCAGTGGAACTGGTCTGCCATCCCAGTAGCCAAGTGAAACACTAAAGTCGAGAAAACTGAAATGTTTCCCTCATGGTCACATTGTTGATTAATAGCAGTGAAAATGAGAATGTCCCTCTACTGCTATCTTCTCTGGACTTCTTGGATGGACTGAACCTTCTCCATAGCACACCAGCTTAGAGAGAAAGTTCCCATCTTCTTATCACAAGATCAGCAAGTCTGATAGAGTTTTGTTCACCATGTTATGACTTTGATAGGGCAGTAAAGTTAAGTCTGACAGCTGTTTCATGAACTTTGGTAAGAAATTAATTATCTTCAAGGTTAATGTTTACACAGTGAGCCAAACATGTCTGTAAGGAACAATAATCCTACTACAACTGTTGGTTTACTTCAGGTTCTCATGGAAAACAGAGCAATCATAATTTCTCATAGTTTCTTCAACAAATTGCAGAGGAACAGAGAGATTGGTTGTGAGAGTCTGTAGATTAAGAGGCTTCAGAGAAAAATGCCTTAGTCACAGGGAAATTCAAATTCAAATTACAGCAGATGCAACTCTAGTGTCTTAGTTACTTTTCTCATTGCTGGAACAAAATACTTTACACCCACAAGTTAAAGGAGGAAAGATTTATTTTGTCTTACAGTTTGTAGAGATTTCAGCCCATAATCAGTTGGCTCCAAGGCAGGGGACAATGGCCAGTGGCATTGCAGAGGAAAAAGAGTTCATGGCATGGCAAGCTGAAGGCAGTAGGAGAGGAAAGCAGCTCCAGGAGGCTTCCCTTTCCCTTTTATTTCATCCAGGTTACAAGCCTATTGGTTGGTGCCACCCACATCCAGGGTGGGCCTTCCCTTTATCCACACCAGAACAATGCTAAGCCAGTCAACTAATTTAGTTATCACACCCTTAGTCCACATTCACACAGCCTAGATCCAGCCATTATCTGTAAGCACATAAGACTTTGAGGAGACATCTAGATACAAACCATACCATCTAGGTACCCTCCAAAGGGATTGGAAAAAGAAAGATAAGAACCAAGTGTGACTGAGGGAGGGACTAGAATGCTCATCTGGTGGGAATGTGCATTGGTATAATCACTGTGGAAAATAGGCTGACAGTATCCATTTGCAGACCCTGAAAGTAGCTGCACTGCTCAGCAAATCTCTCATGGAAATGTGCTTATGTGTCTACCAGGAAGCATGCACTAGGATGCATACCGCAACATTTTTTAATTGCCCCAGATGATGCAGTTTATTCACATGAAGGAATCCTCTGTAACAAAGAGGATGAATACATAACTCCTTTTAAAAAACTTATTTTAATCTTTTATTTACTTATATATTTGATACAGGGCATTGCTATGCAGCTCAGACTCATGATGATCCTCCTGTCTCAGCCTCTCCCACACTGGGATTATAGGCACATGACACCATGCCAGGTTTTGGTGGCCAGCTTGGCTTGGGGCTGGCAAGTCATGCAGTACCGGGGATCTAACCCAGGTCCTTGTGCTTGCCAGGAAGGCACTTAGACTGCCGAGCTATCTCCCTGGCCCCATAACTGCTTATAACATAAATTAAGTGAAGAAGCCTGGCACAAAAGACAGATTCTGTACACATTGTGCTGTATGTTAACCAAATCTCTTCATAAGTTTTTTAGACCAAGTCTTAACGGCTGAGATTGTAAATCTTCAGTGCTCGTATCCTCCCTTACTTCCTTTTGCAAGTCAGAAAGATGTCGGCATATGCTTTCCAGCTCATGTTTCTGGGCTGACGTCCTGTTAGTTGAGACAGGGTGGAGTACAAAACTGGAGAATATCACATTGCTCTGCCTTTGCCTCTCGCCAGCCCACGTGTTCTCCAGAAAGGGACAGGAAGTGTCAACCTCATACTTGTATTTTAAATTATGGTCTGTGGGGCTTGGGGATGTAGCTCAGTGGTAGAGCACTTGCCTAGTCTGCATAAGGCCCTAGGTTTGATCCCCCAAACTGCGAATAACATATAATGAAATAAAATCTTGTGAATATAAAGCATTGATTGACCTGGAATCACTGTACACTTAGCACACACACACACACACACACACACACATTCACAAGTAGCTTTGCTCTCTAAGATGCTATCTAAGGTATCATTTGGCCACATCTAGACAAAGCCTGTGGTATTGTTTTCAATTTTGGGCAGCTTGCTCAGGGCATTTTTTCTATGGACAAAGTGTGTGCCCAGCCTGGGTGGGTCTGGCTTCCCAGCCAAGAAATCATGTGTTGATTGGTGGCAGGGAATGAGATACCTTGGTGGTTGGCCCACATCCAGACAAAAATTATCTAATTGGATATTTGAGATGACATGGAAAAAAATCAGAGTTCCCATGGCAGTCATTTCTTTCTGAATTCTCCAGTGCTTGACTTGGGATATAGTCATGGGACTTTCTGTGAGTGTGTTTGGCACTTGCCCCTTCTCACAGACCAAGGCAGGAGGAAATGATGGCTTGCCTTCATAAATTAGGATCTTTATCCTGTAACTGTTAGGTACCGTATCCTGTACCCCTTGTCTCCATCAGCAGTACTACCCATCCAGTCCAAACCTAGAAACAAGAGTCTCACCCACCAGTCTCCGGATATTGTTGACTTTCCCTCTACTGCAGCTGCCAATCTGTTTTGTCTTCATCCCCACCACCAGTAAGTCCTACTGGCCATGAATAGCCCCCAGTCTCTTCTTTATCCTTAGACATCCCTCAGTTTTCTCAAAATAGATCTGATGAGACTACTGACCTCCTTAACACCCATCCCCCAGGGCCAACAAGATAGGTCAACAGACTAAGTGCCTGCTTAGGCAAGCACAGAGACCAGAGTTAGATCCTGGTACCACATGCCCTGCCAGCCCCACCCTAAGTGTGCTGAGCTGGCCACCAAGACTGGGCGTGGTACACATCTGTAACCCCAGCACTGAGGAGGCTGAAAACAGGATCAGTACGAGCCTGAGCTGTGTAATGAAACCCTGTACCAAATACATTTTTAAAAAAAAAATCCCTGGTTTCCTGTTATCTACAGAACAAAAATCAAAAGCACTTGGCCTTCCCTGCCCTGTAGACCCTGGCCTAACTCACCCACTACCTTTCTGTCTTCCCCACACCATATGCAGCCACTAACAGTTTCGGGAAATACACCAGCTTTTTTATGCCTCGGTGCTTTTTCCTATGTTCTGCCTAAAACATTCTTCTGCAACTCTATCCAAGCAGCAGACCTCCCTTTCTTAGGATTCACCTTCTGTCACCTCACCACCCTCCTCTCTGTAGAACTGTCTACCTCTCGTGCTTGCACCATTCCCTGGCATGCTTTTCTCAGCCTTCATCCCACTGGGGTCCTGGGTCTGCCCCTGCCGCTGGAAAGGAGCCAAGGAGACCAGGATTTCGTTCTCCATTGTCAGCTTCTGCACAGGGCTTGTTTACACCTGAAGGCCCCTGAAGTGTGCTGTACAAGTGAACAGGATCTCTGTGGGCAGAAGGCCAATCAGTGCTGCCAGTTCTGAGATGCACAAGGATTTTATGAACCATTCCTATCTTGAGGCCCATTATGAGGGCAACCTGCTGCAGCTGCAGCTTTAATTGAAATGATTAGGATAACTTTATAGCTTCTCTTCTTCTGGGAGTATGAGTTAGAAGTCACTTCCTTGATTTAGCTTCTAAATCTCTTGTGCATCCAAGGCTAGTTGTATTCAAAACTCAGGTCTTGGTGGGACATGCCAGTCCCACGTGGGAGTCTCCACTTGTTCATTCAGCAGTGCAGATGCCTTTCCTACCTTCCTCACAGTGGACCTGTGAAGTGACTATCGTCCCATGTTGCCAATAAAAAATAGAGATTCTGCCGTGCCGGCTCCGCCCCCAGGGCGCACTAAGACAGCAATTGAGACTGGGCGTGGTGGTGCGTACAGAAACCTCAGCTCTTGGGAGGCTGTAAACAGGCGGCTCACTATGAGTCTGATCTAGTAGTGAGACCCTGAACACCCTAGACTCTTCCCTAAAAAATAAAAAAAATAATAAAAATTAAAAAAAGGTTTTGATGTAAAACAGCCTCTCTGAGAGCATTTGGTTAGACTTAGATTTGAGTTTTGAGCTAACATCTGTTCAACTCCCTGGCAGTGATCTGTGAATTTTTTTACCCATGTAACCTCTTAAAGAATTTGTGAAGTATATACCCCATCATACCTTTTATACTGGCACATAAAGATCTTGGTGATACGTACATACTAAGTGTATCATTTCTGGCATTTTATAAATATTGACATCTTAAAATGACACCAAGAGCACCTTTCTTTGAAATATATTCAGTAAAATGCAAATAATACAGTGACTTAAATATTCATTTAGAAGTATATAACCTCTTTGGTAGCAATCTTGAATATTTCACTGTACTTTTTTCTTCCTGATGCTATATTTCCACTTCACCCCTTCCCCACTGATGCTTTTTTTTTTTTTTTTTTTGTAACCGGGGATTGAACTCAGGCCCTTGTGTTTGCCAGGCAAGAGCGAGCTTATCCCACTGAACTATCTCCCCGGCCCCCTCATATGCTTTTGCTAATATATTTTGTCATGAATTATGTTATTGCCCTACTATATGCCCTACAATATATGCCTTATATAACATCTTTAGTATACAAGGTATAATTAATTATTCAAAATTACTTGGCTTTTTTTTGGTTTTTGTTTTGTTTTTTGGGGGAACCAGGGATTGAACTCAGACCCTTGTGCTTGCCAGGGAAGCACTTATTCTACTGAGCCATCTCCCCAGCCCCATTAGATTAACTTTTTTTTTTTTTTTCTGGCGGAACCGGAGATTGAACTCAGGCCCTTGTGCTTGCCAGGCAAGCGCTTATTCTACTGAGCCATTTCCCCAGCCCATTACTTGTGATTATAAATGGGGCAAATATTTTTAGAATTTCTCCTAAATAAGGAATAAGTTTTCAGTAGAAATGCTGCTCCATTCAGTAAATGAGGCTTACGTCATAAATGCGTGGGTGGCTGTTATTTATTCTTAGAATGAAACAGGATTTAGTATCAATGTTTATTCCAATTCTCATTTTTTATAGACAAGAGAACTAAGAAATGTTAACATAAATAAGTTGATAGAAGTAGTTAAGTCATGAAGTTCTTAGCATTCTCTTTGAGTTTGTGTGCTCAAAGGTCACAGAGCAATCACTTATGAAAATATAGTTTTGTTTGGTACCGGGAATCGAACTCAGGGCCTTGTGCTTGCCACAGAGGTGCTGTGCTGCTGAGCTACATCCCCAGCCTAAAATATAATTTTAATGGTCTGTCAGCTTTTGGTTCAATAAGATCCTCTTTCCTTTCTTAGAAATCCATGTGACTTGCAGAAAGAGTTATGTGGAGTCACTGAAGTCATTGCCTTTCTCAAGCCCTATACACTAGTGTGACTTGTCCCCTTGGTGTGGTACCCTGGAAAATGAGAGAAAGGGAATCATAAAAAAGAACAGCATGAGCTAGGCACAATCTAGCAGTTGGTTTCTTTAAAACTACGCTGGTGTGCCCCCTGGGAAGTTTGCGTACCACCTATGGCATGTACCTTCCGTTTTGAAAATTGCTGTATTTACCACGCGGCTTCTCCGATCTGACCTCCCTTCCTCTGCCCATAGGTTATTGCGGCGGAGGGAGAAATGAATGCATCCAGAGCTCTGAAAGAAGCTTCTATGGTTATCACCGAGTCTCCTGCAGCCCTTCAGCTTCGGTACCTTCAGACGCTGACCACCATTGCAGCTGAGAAAAACTCCACGATTGTCTTCCCTCTGCCTATAGATATGTTGCAAGGCATCATGGGGGCAAAACACTGAGCCGTGGAGGCCAGCGTGGAGATGAGCTATCCACATCTGAAGAAGTAGGGGACCAAGTTAGCTTTCAGCTCACAAGGAGAGAAAGAGTAGAGCAGGGTACCTTGAATAGCCTCCCTCCCCTTTTCTTATATGCTGAGGTTTTTAGACTGTGTAGTGATCCTAGAAACAGTGAAAGCAATCTTTAGCTTGTAAATAGTGAGAGGAAGAGAGAGGTTGGTGATATATGTATAAGAGAATTTCCCACTCTTTAAAATATTTAAGGGTTTGTATTTCAGAGCATCCTGGAATAGGTTAAATCCCTCCTCTTTTGACTTCTGTTGAGTCATTCTGAACCTGTCTCCAGCAGCCGGAACAAGACAAGAACACAGGTTAACACTCCCACCTGCCACCTTACACTAAGGCCAGCTCCTCTGGGCCATCCGTGCCTTACCTCCAGGGAGTCTTAATGAAGGACCTTCCCCTGGTGTCTGCCTACTTTATAAACTCAGACCTCACCAAGCAGGAGGTGTCTTCTTGTTGTACCTGTTAGTCAAAAACAAATGATCAGGATCTATGGAGAAGATATCGTAACCCTTTGATGACTTTTAAATTCACCATTGTGATGGTCATTGTGAAAATAATTTAATTGATGCTTTTTTTTTTTTTTTTTGGTAACTCCTTTGAGCCTCCTGAAGGAGGAAAAAGCTCCTCTGTGGTCTGTCTTTCAAACCAGCTAACTACTTACCACAAAAGTGCTTCTTCTAACTTTTGCCTATTTTCATATATTTCACATATCAAGTTTTCACTTTTTAATAAAAATTTAATAAAAATTTCTCTAAGTACTATAAACAATTATATACTTATTTGAATAGCTGAAGGATTGAAAGACTTTTTAAAAATACCTTCCAAAAACCCATTGCATGTTATGGTCTACATGCTGTTAACTATTGTCCTCTGAGAAATAATCCCATTCATGAAGAGCTGTAACATCAAAGGACCACGGGGCAGCACTGTTGCACTTAGGGTACCTGGGCGAGCTGTAGAGCACTCAGTTTGCTTCATTGTCCTCTTCCTCCTGTGTATGCTGAGGCTGTGGAAAGAAGGTTCCTTGCACCCTAGCTTCTTAGCCTGTAATAGTAGGAAGCATTTTGTTTTTCAAATGTCTATGAACTGGAGCGACCTGATACTCTACTGGCGAGGAAAGCTAGTTGTTGACATTTATAATATCTTCTTTGAGCCTCTCAGTTTACCTGGAGAAGTCTAAAAATAACAACTTCTTTTCCGGGCACCTGTCTTCATCTCAGCCCTTAGCCGAGGCACTGTCAACCCCAGTGCGTAATGTCCTTTCCACTGTTTCCTATTTCCAAGCTTATTTTAGAAAACTTTGAACCACATTCTATCCAGGCTACTCAGTTTGTTTAGAGGTGTATGGACGGTTTCAGCTCAGGACTCAAGTTGCATTTGCATTTTGAATGTTAAAATGATGGATTTTGTCTGTTGACCCAGGACCCCAGGGGACCAGAAAATTGCATGAAAATCTCTTCTCTGATGTTGAATGTCAGTGATTTTGGTTCCATAAGTTTCCTCTCATCCTTTTGCTGCCTTGTGAATTCACAGGTACAGTTAAATCACTTGGGAGAAGAAAAGCCTAGGAGGAGCCCTGGGGTGAGAGTACAAGAGTGTTTCCCGCAGCTTCCCCTTCTGACCATGTACATAATAAAATGTGTGCTGTAATTTCCCATGTGCAAGTCTGTGTCTGCACTAGCTTATGTGGAGTTCATTTTTTACAGGTGTCACATCTGGTCATCCAGTCCCAGGCTGGCTGCCTGGCCCACACACTTTCCCGGGGAAGTCTGAGACTGCCCTCCCCTGCCCCCCAATACTTGGCTGGCTTCATTTTCTTTTGCCTTCCTCCAAATGGGATAGGAACCCACTTCCAGCTGTCATTCAAATCATCACACAAAACTACCTCTACTTAAAACGATGATAAGGGGCCAGGTAATAGCTCAGTAGAATAAGTGCTTGCATAGCAAGCACAAGGTCCTGAGTTCAATCCCCAGTACTGAGAAGAAAAAAAAAAATGGTGATAAGAAGCTTTGGGTCAACTGCAACCTGTAGCCTTTGAAGAGCTGTCCTGGATTAGTGGCAGCCCACCACTGCTGGAGCACTAGTCACTTAGCCCTGTGCTTAAACACATGTGCATACATTCATCATCTTGCCCTCAAACAGTTCAATGGAATACATCCTACACCTTATACAGGAGACACTGAGGCTCAAAGTAAAAAACTTAACCAAACTCTCACAATGGTGAGGAGCACAGCTGGCATTAAACCCAGACTGTCCAATGCCAAAGCCACCTAAGATGTCCCAATGTAGCTTCATGTGTCACTGCTGCTGCTGTCCCTGTACACAAACCACTGCCACCAGCAGCAGTCATTTTATGTGTTGATCATGAGTTTCCAAGACAACCAAAAGGCATTTGACCTCACATTCATACTAAGCAGGTTTGAAATTTAAACGGAGTTTTAGGTCATTTGCTCCAGCTGAAGTTTGACCCAAGTAAGGGGAGCTGATTGTGTGTCCATAACCATAATGTGTCACAAGAAATGACTGGGATCCCCTTGACAATGAAGTCGTCCACTAAGCACCCTTCCCACCTACTCCTCAACAGCTTTCAGAACTCCTTTTAGAAGCAAGCTCCTTTTGTCAGAGGAAAGTGCGTGCTGGTAACAAGGGTTAAAATGTCTTCTCCCTGCACCACTTCTTAGGTGTACGTGTATAATATTTACTTACGAAGTACACCAGGGTGAATCAGGAGACTATTTTGGACAAGAAAAATATTAACAAGGGGTTGACCACAGTTTTGTGTCACCTTGTATCCACTCATGATTTTGCTCTATAACACTTTCTCTGAGAAGTGGGCTTGTGGACGACCCACGTGGACCCCCTCCTGTCTCTCAGGCCGGTGCTGTTGCTCCCTCAATAAAATTTCCTGCTTTTAACCTCTGATGTTTCTTAGAATTCACTCTTGGATTTTGGAGAACATGAACTCAGCACATTGGACATTCAGCAGGTTTGGAGTTACATTCATTTCTCCTATGTAATCTTAAGGTCCTCTATAAAAACCAACTCTAGGGCCAGTCAGATAGCTCAGTGGATTAAAGCTCCTGTTGAGGCAAAGTGTAGGGACCAGGGTTCAATCCCTGGCCCCACAAGTTATGCTGGCCCCACCCCTGGGGTCCCCTGAGACTGCGATTGAGACTGGGAGTGGTAGTGTGTGCCTGTAATCCCAGGGTTTGGGAAGCTGAAAACAGGGGGATCACTATGAGTCCAAGCTGTGCAGTAAGACCCTGTATGAAATATATTTTTTAAAAAACAACAAAACTAGAAGACTGCAGCCCTCAGTACCTGGTAACATTTGCATTTGCAAGTTTGTAAGTGGAGAATTTGAGGATCAGAAAATGCACATGTGTGCATGTGTGCGTATGTGTGTGTGTGTGTGTGTGTGTGTGTGTGTGTTCACACACATGCAAGTCCTGGGCTTTGAACCCAGAGATCACTCATGCTAAGTGTGCATTCTACCACTAAGCTTCACTCTCAATAACTATCTGTTGAACTGAGTTACTCAAGAGCCAACTCAGGATCCAAGCCCTAGTGGATTTCCTTCTCAGAAATGCCATGTTAGCAATATACAGTCTTTTACAATGACTTCTCCATTGTGGCTGGCCGTTGTCTAAAACTGTAGGAAGAGAACATGTGGTTGAAGTGAAACTTCCTGATTTAGTTTCTTTCACATGGAGAGAAAACAGGAAGTCAGAACAATCATTTTGCCCCTGGGCAACTTCCTTTCTCCAAGTAGTAGAAGGCCTTGGCCTCACCCTCTTATGCCAACAAAGACTGAAAGAATTCAGGGCAGGTCCTCCTATGCATCCAGGAGGGAAGCTGGCTTTGCCTAGACAAGATCTTCACCTGCCTATAACGAAGGCCCTGAAGGTTTCCCCGGACGTTACACTCATCAAACTGACCAGTTTTAGCTTTCAGCCACCCCGAGTACAGGCAAGGCAGGCGTTACAACATGAAGTCCAAATCTCTTAGAGCAGCATTTGAGGCCCCAGCCATCACTCTGCTTGGAGTCCTAGCTCTCCCCACCTGCTGCAGCTCCATGGAGCCCACAGTCCCATCCCCCTCACTGCCCCTGCCTTCATACAAGCTGCACCCTCTGTCTGAGATGACCTGCCTTCTTTAGTGCCCCAGTGCTGCACCTGGAAAATTCCTTCACCACTGCCCTCATCACCTTTGTGTTGAAACAGAATCTCTGGAGGTATGGCCCCGGGAGAAGCACACTTTTTAAAAAGTCCCTGGGAAATTTCAGGGCTCAACTAACTTTGGAAATGACAGTGTAAACACATGCAGGCACACAAACACACACGCACAGGTACACGCACGCATTCATCCCACCACGCAGAGCTCATACTGGCTTCTGTTCTTCTGTTGTACTATGGGAGCCTCCTTCCATAACTAGGACAGGGACAGGGTGGGGGAAGTGGCATGGAACGAGAGGGGGAAATACAGTGGGTAAGAAGAGCCCAAAAGGAAGTGGGGGAGGGGACCTGCCCTCCAGCTGGTTTCTGGGCTGGTTTGGGTCCTTCATGGAGAAATAGTTCATGGAAGCGTCCAAGAGGGACTTCTGATCCCCTGAGCAGCCTCAGGGGACCACAGAGGATACCTAGGAGTCTTTCTACACCCCAAAGACTGGGAACTAGGGGCACCCCAGGGCAGCTGCAGCAGTAAAGTTTCCTCCAAATAGCTGTGGGCTGAAGAATGAGCCTGTGGGAACCAGAGGTAGAGCAGAAGGGCAAGGCAGATGTCACAGGATGTGAGACTGACAATGTACTACAGGAAAGATAATTAACTAAGGGCCCTGCCTGCTGGCTGCTTCACAGCCAGGTCTCCAAGCGGTGGGCCTTGGGGGAGGTTAGACACTCTTGGTCTTGGAACACAAGTAGCTCTTCTTCTGGATGATCTGGGCCTGGCTGAAAATACTTTGAATGGACCAGGACTGTGCACTATAGCCAAGAGCGGCAAGCAACCCAGATGTTCCCATTTGGAAGAGTGGATGAGATGTGGTATATACATGCAATGGAGTACCAGCTGGCCACACGAAGGGATGAAATGTCGATAGATGCGACTGCACAGACGAATCTTGAAAATGTCATTCTTGGTGGAATGCGCCAGGCTCCTCCTTATTCAAGCTATCTAGGATCGGCAAATTCCTAGAGACAGCAAGTGGACCAGAGACTTCCTAGGGCTGAGGATGAAGAGTTATCATCGAATGCACACTATACTTATGCCAAAAATTATGAAAGAGGCTTGGGCACAGGGAGTGGTGATGGCTTCCCTGCAGTGTATATGGTGACAGTGAGTTACTCTTACAAAGGGGTCAAGTGACAAATATTATTATGAGTAGCTTGCTGCAATAAAAAAAAATCAAGAAAAATAGGAATGCACTACTGCATTTAGGAACAACACTTCGACTTTGGCTCAGCACTTCCTGAAAGCTTTGTCAACCCTTGCCTGGCCAAATGGCCATATGGGACACTTCTTCCCAGCCTTGTCTTCTCTTCTTTGCTTATATCAGACTCACCCTCTGGTCTGATGGCTCTCCACCCTCCCCAGGCAACGTGTCCCCCCAGACACAGCTTCGCCTTGGCATCTGCTCCTCAGATGCCAGTTGGATGGGGCTCGGCTTCAGGTTCACAGGCACATGCAAGGCCCCTGCTGGGTCTTAGGATTCCCAGGGACGAAGAGCACCACCATCAGGCAGTCAGGTGGGTAGAAGCACGTGAGGGAGCAAGGAACACAGCAGAGCTACCCTAGACCAACGCACTTCAGAAAGCCTTTATTGAATCGAATTTCCAAAGCACAGATATTTGAGACAAGTTCGCGAGGACCCTGAATTTTGGCAGGGTTGGTTTTGGCTACTATAAAAACACACACACATACACACACACACACACATCCACCAGAGTTGCCCTGCTCACCATAAGATTTCTTTGGGAGATGGACAGTTCTAAAAGGCACTGATAGGTGACAGTGGTGGGGCCTGCTCCTCCTTAGGCAGCCAGCTCAGCCAGCGCCCTGTCCAACGGGTCCACAGACCAGTAGTTGTCATCCCAGCCAAGGAACCAGCCCACGAAGGAAGGCGGCTCAAAGCCTTGCTTCACCACAGTGATGGGGGTCCGTCTATCCCGATTAGCTGGGTCCGTCTCGATGTATCGCTTAGCTGCAGACACACATGGGGAGGGGGGAAGAGAAAACACGAAGATTCTTAGTGCCTCCCACAGCAGGAGCAGGTAGTTCAGGGCGACAGTGCATTTGCTCCCCCTGTCCCTACTGCCTGTCCCCATAGCAGAGACCACCATCCCTTCTAGGCAATGACACCCATGTGGGTTCGCCACCACCTGCCTAGGTATACCAAAAAAGAGGAACGACAGCCCAACTTCCTGCTTACAAGACTCTCGGCCTTTCTTTGGATTTGCTATTTCTCCCTGGCTCCTGAAAGACACTGAAGAATCTGCTTCTTAGTTTCCAGGCCTTAAATCAGCCCGGTTCAGCTACCCAGGATCTGCTTTCCAATATCAAACCCTGGCAAGTGCAACCTTTGGGTATGCCAGAGATGGATGTGGCTTCTCACCTGGTCCTTCCTGCCCCTACCACCCAAAGGCCCATGGGTA